TATTTGACTTTTTTTGTGAGGCTGGGGTTCGAACTCAGGGCCTTGTGCTTGCTAGGCCAACCCTGTACCACTTGAGCCATGCCATAGCCCAACAATGATTTTTATGATTTATAATTTAACATCAATCAGATGGGGAATAAGATATCCCTAGCTTTCAGCAGAAAATTACTTGTTTGAAATAAACAAAGCAGGCTGTAGGAATTCATAAGGAAGCTTAGAAAGTGCTATCCTGTGCTGTAAAAAGTAATTCCTTACTTAAATTTAGGTGCAAAATCAAAGATACAGGCTTTAAAACTATTATTTTCTCATCTGAAGTTAGGAAAGCCCAATGCATCTCTCATATCATGGGACTAGTAGGCCTTACCTGAGTCATAACAAGGCAAAAGAAGAGAAATAGATAGTGTGGCAAACAGAATAGACACACAGGATGACTGTGTCTTAATCTCTGGAACCAACAATATGATTAGATTATATAGGTCATTCTAGGTTATCAGATGAGCCTGGAAAAGCAAAGCTTTCACCCAACTGAGAGCAGAAGAGGTCTACAGATGTCAAATATGAGAAGGACTTGACAAACCACTGCTACCTCTAAGATATACAGGTCTACCATCTCCCCCTGAAATACACACACACACACACACACACACACACACACACACACACACATGCACACACACAAAAGGAGAAAGAACTGGACTTCTGACCCACAAAATCTATGAGATAATAAATAAGTGTTGTTATAAGTCACTAAGATTGTAGTGCTGTGTTGCAACTACTGCATATGGGAAGAGGTATAGCCATATATTTTCTTTACTCCTAGCATAGAGGATCCATAATTATGTTTATTCATCTGCAACATTTTAAAGTACTATGATTCAGGCTGAGAAATTGAGAACCATAGTAAAAAATTAATGGTGGCAGATTTGTAACTGTGATTTTGTTGTTTGCTTAGGCTCACTATCTTACAACCTATTATTTAATATTTTCATATATTTCACTGGTGTCTTACTCTGTTTTTAGGCATATTACATAAAATATGTGTATCTAGTTTTCAGTCAATGCATGGGTAATTTTATAATATCAAATAATCTTAACAAATATTTATTTTACTTCAATAATATTCTATCATTTAGCTCTGCAGTAGTTTTGTATTTTGTTTTTTGTTTGGTCTCTAATATTTTTTATTGTTATCATATTTGTTGTACTAGACAATCGCAGATAAATATCTAGACAAAACATAAAGTGATTTTCTGATAATAATTATGTTACACTTATACCCACACTGAATGATTTTTTTTTTAAAGACTGGATCTTGAAAGGGGTAACTGTTTTCTACTTGAGCTTTTAGCTATTTAATCTATGCTTTCCTTAAAAATAAGATTTGGCTTACTCTTGTTGTGATTTTTTTTTATAGAATGTGTTATTTAAACACTCAGTAATGTACAGAGTAGTAAGTAAGCCCTTGGAGTTGAAATAAGTACTTGTAAAATTAATTTACCATAATAAGAGTTTCATATTACCTTTGAATTAAGCAGTAATAGAAAAATAGTGTAAATACTAAAGCATATGGTAATGCTTTTTATTTATTCATTTATTCTTTCAACATATATTTCTTGGAATACTTACTATATGCCAGATAATACATTAGAGACTTACGGTATTGTACTGAATAAAATAGTTATCTTTGGTTTTGTGGAGCATAGGGGTGGGAGAGAATTATGGGAGATTGTTAATAAGTATAAAGACTACACATTGTATCAAATGGACACGTGTTGAAGGAAAACACAGAGGATAAGGTCATAATGATGAAAGGAGTTCAATTTTAGATATTTAAGAAAAATGAAAATGTTGATGGCTTAAATATGTAGAGGGATTGAAGAAAGTAACTGCTTCAACAATATTTAGATATATAAAGATAAAGAAATAGTGAAAAAAATATTTCACTAAATAAGATTTTGGTGATCTTTCTTATAGGGGTTTTTCCCATATAAATTTAAATTTAGTCTATTAAAGTACTCTAACTTTCATTCTTTTTTATATTATTAGTTCTGTCTGGCTATATTTGTTGATCTGAATTATTTGATAGATTCTGCCTTATTTTGCTCAGTTACATTACAATCTTGATTCTCAATGTTAAGGTAGTAATTGTCATCCACAGACAAACAACAGCATTAGTTTTACAAAGGTGAAAATTCATATTATCTTTATATAGTAAAAGTTAATTATTTTATTTGTATGAATAGAATGAAATTAGTAAACCATTTGCTGATGTCTGTGTCATCAACATTCATAATTAAAAATATCTTTAAGCTGGGTGTTGTGGCATATGCCTATAATCCCAGCACTCAGTAGGCAGAGGCAGGAGGATTGTGAGTTTGAGACCAGCCTGGGCTACATAGTGACACCCTGTCTCAAAAAAATCATTAATATTTTTTCTATATATAAAACAGGTAAAGTAACTTTCTTTAAAGAAAATAAGATTTATGTAGACAAGTGGAAAGTGAAAAAAACTAGACAATACTAGCACAATAGGAAAATGTTTCAAACAGAGGAAAGGCTACTTTAGAGTTGCTCAGAAAATCTTAAATTATGGGCTACAGATGATCTTAGGAAACTTTATTTCACTAAGTAATTTCCTAGGGTCCTAGTTCCTAAGATAGCCTAAATATCTAATCACCTAGATAGCATATTTGTATAAAATATTCTTTTAGGACTTATAACAGAAACAAATTCCAAATGACACTGTACTGAAACTGTTCACATCTGATATTAAGAATTTCTTAATTTGTAATATTTTAAGAACTAGTATGACATATTAGAATAGCTTTTATTTTCTGAAGGAAACATATGCAAAAATTTTAAGATCTGTTTTTCAAAGTAGGATGTAATGATTTGACATTAAGAATTGCCCTTTTAGGGCAGAACAGGTTCTGCCTGGAAGTGAGGGGGGTGGGGGCAGCAGGGAGAAATGGCCCAAACAATGTATGCACATATGAATAAATGAATAAAGAAAAAAAAGAATTGCCCTTTTAATCTTATTTGGAGTTCAGTCTACATTTACATGACAGCTTTTCAAAGAATACCTTAATAAATATTTAGAACATTTCCAAATGGTCATTTCCTGTGTTAATGCTGCATTTCTCTTAATTTTCTTTTTTTAGTGAACAGATGTGGTCCAGAACTATACATGAATAACTTTGGTTAGACAGAGTGAACATTCAATAATGAGTGGTGCAGCATTGGGACTTGAGATTGTTTTTGTCTTTTTTCTGGCATTATTCCTGCTTCATCGATATGGAGACTTTAAGAAACAACACAGACTTGTAATTGTTGGAACACTACTTGCTTGGTATCTCTGCTTTCTTATTGTCTTCATACTGCCTCTGGATGTTAGTACGGTAAGAGGTGAAGCTGATTTTCACAATTTTAAAGGCAATTGTTATTGTACAGTTTGTTTGAGATACTATTTTTTAAGACACCTAAATTATATAAGATTATACATATATTTTGAATTTAAATGTTTTATGAATTTGATCATTAAATAGCATAGCCAGAAAGTTAAGTTTAGGTAGATAGATTTATAAACTCCAAATTTCTTAAGTACTTAGTAACTTTTTGATTATCATTTTTAAATCATGTGTTCACTGCTTCAGACAATATACAACAGGTGCAGACATGCTGCTGCAAATTCAAGCCCTCCTGAGAATAACAATGTTACAGGATCATATGCAACTGTCACCCCAGTTACAAGGTATGTCTTTTTTTTCTTTTCAGTGTAAATATTGTAGGGGGACATTGTTTAAAAATTATCAGTTTTTACCATTTTATAAAGTTGAGGACAACTTTATAAAGTTGTCCTCATTCTCTATTGATCCTCCCACTTTCATCCTTTGTAAGTAATCTTATTATGTTTAATCAAACCTTAAATATTTATTGGTGTACAAGGCCTTCCAGTAGAGCTAATGAGAACTTTAAAGACAACCTTTTTTTTTTTTTTTTAAAGGCTGGATTGTTCCCTTTACTATAGGTTTCAAACCTATTTTTCCTCTCAGCCTCTGTCTCATATCTAAAAATGGAGTATGGATGTTCCTAGGTTTCAGAATCATTAAAAAAATAAAGGAGTGTACATTTTCCCTTTTGTATAACTTGCAAGGTTGTTATAAAGAAAAAGGAGTTTATTCTAATTATATTTCTCTCATAATTGCATCCTTTAAAATCATTATAGTTTTACATCAAGAATGAAATAAATCTGTAATATGAGCTACTTGGGAGGCTGAGATTGGGAGGATAATGGTTCGGATGCCAGCCCTGGCAAATAGTTTATGAGACCCCCATCTTCAAAATAACCAGACCAAAATGGACTGGAGGTGTGGCTTGGGTGGTAGAGGACCTACTTTGCAAATGCAAAGCCCTGGGTTCAAACCCCAATTCCACTAAAAAAAATGAGTAAATAAAGTTCAAATTGTTGAAAGATTATTGTTAAATTAATATCATGTTTCCAATTTATGTTGACATAAAACCTTTCCAATGCTTTAAGTAGCATTTGTATTCTTCATGAAGTTAAAAAAAAACTGACTTGAATAAAGGTAAATTTAAAGTATAGATGTTGTTCCTTTTTGACTAACCATTAAAATTGTATAAAGATCAACAGGAATTATCAAGATTGAAATATTGGAATAAAGGATATCCTCACAGTCTTGAAAACTATCAAATGGAAGAATTTATGTTCAGAGACTCATTATTAGAAGGTTTAAGCAGAATTGTATATAGATTCTGATGTGCATCTCTGCGGGAGCTATTATAGTGACTAATTTAATTAGCATCTCCATTTCTGGGAATTAATAACCTATTATCTTCTACACAACCCTCACTCCTAAATAATAATAATAATAATAATAATAAATAACATATGATATGTTAATAATAATAAATCAGCTTTACAAATAGAATGAGTATATATTTTAAAGTGACACGTTTACTTTTTAAGGACTTATATTATTAATCTATCAGTTTAACACTATGTCCTCTTCTTACTCAGAGACTAAAAATATACTAAAATTTGAAAATTGAAATGGCATTTCTCTTTAGAATGAATTGTTTTATTTGCTTTGTGTACATTTTTTAGTAATAGCTTGAATTTTAAGTTTTTGTGTATGCCAATTTTCTGGGGCTGGTAGAATAACTCAAGTGGTAGAGCGCCTACGTAGCAAGTGTGTGACCCTGAGTTCAAATCCCCAAACCATCAAAGATAAAAAGAAAGAAATAATTATGATTAATTGGCTTTAAATTGTTATTGAACAGACAGCATCCGTGTTTCAAGCCATGGAGTTACATTCCTGATGGAATCATGCCAATTTTTTGGAGGGTAGTATATTGGACATCACAATTTTTAACATGGTAAGTGTCAGTGAAGGATAACAATTTAAAAATTTTGGCTAAAGTTAAGTTAAAAAAAAGTGATTTAGTTTTCAGTGAACCCTCAGATTTTGAAATTTATGTGTTGCTTATTTTTGTCCTTAAACTGGCATTTTCTTCCTTTCTGCTGTCTCAAAACTACCTTTAGAAAAAAAAAAAGGAAAGGAAAAACAGACAAACAAACAATAGAAAACAGAAACAAAAAGATTTTCTTGTCATATTTTCCTTATATTATTGCCTTCTCTCTTGACTTTCTATCTGGTCTACTTCTAGCCCCATTAATTATATGAAACCGCTTTTGCTAAGGTCTCAACTATCTGTCCTACCTCTAGTTAACTTTCTATCTTCTTGCTCCAACCTTCTGAATTTCCTTCATGGAAATTTCCTTCATTTTTGTGGCCCATATCCTAAATTTCAGTCTTCCCTTAGAGCCTTATGTTCAGGCACTTGTTGTCTGACTCTCCCTGAATAACTTTAATTATAGCCATGGTGACCACTAATGCACTCCAGATATTTCTTTCTACCCATTACTGCTGTGCTCCAAAATCACAGTTACTGAACATCTCTTAGCTATTTTGCAGGCAACTAAACTCTGAAACTGGAAAAAACACAGCAGAGTAGAGTAGTATCTCTGTAAATTCATATTTATTAACTTTGAGCCATCAGCAATTGCCCATTCATTTGCTTACTCTCTATTCTCTACATGCACTATTTCCAGTCACCTCAAACGTCTACCCCCTTTGTGGCTTTCTTCTATTCCCTCCTAAAAGTCACCTTCACTCTTAGCATTTGACTTTACCTTCTATCTCACAGAGGAAATAGAAGTCATTAGATGGCAGTACTCTCAGCTTCTCACCAACAAATCTACTTACCTACCCATCCTTTATTCTTTCTCCTCCAAGAATGGAAGAATCATTCTTTTTTTTTTCTAAGAATGAAAGATTGTTTTTATTGTTGTTAATCTTTTTAAAAAACTTTTTTATTAGAACATAATTGTTGTACAGGGGGTTTCGTTGTGACATTTCCTTATATGCATACAATGTACCACAGTTCATCCTCTCCACTATTCTCCCTCTTCCCCTCCCACTGGAAGAGTCATTATTGTTAAGCTAACCCCTCTTCCCCTCTTCCTCATCTCTTTAAGCTCTTGTTATCCACATACAGCACTTTTAGCTTCCAGTTTTGACAAAGTAATTCCCTCGTTCTTTAAAATAAGAAACAAAAAATCTTTCAACTCAAATCCCTTTCCAGCCTCCACCTCATTGATCTCATCACAACTACAGTTTTTTGAGACTTCTTTTTAAAATTGAAGTATAAATTCCTTCTGAAAAAATGCACAGATGGTGTTTAATCTGACATTTTTCAGAGTAAAAATGCACCCATATACAAGCCATCTCTCAAATGATATAGCACATTAACAATACCCCAGAAGCCTTCCTCATGTTCCCCCATAAACATCCACTACCCACAAAGGTAACCATGATTCTGATTTCCATCACTATAGGTTAGTTTTGTCTTCTTGTGGACTTTATAAACATGGAGTTGTATTGTATGAACTTTGTGCTTCTTTCTTTTTTTACTCACATTTTTGGGAGATTCATCTATGCTATGATGTAGGTATCACCATGCTGTTTTCATTTCTCTAAGACATTTCATTTTATATATGTACCATAGTTTTTCTTCCTCAGCCAAATTTCTGAAATGAACCATGTACATTTGGAGTCTCTGTTTACTCACTGTCTACTTATTCTTCAGCCCATGGTCCCCTTTTTTTCTATACCTACTAACACATATAAGTCTTTTATTTATTTGATCTCTTGACAGCATTTGATTTTACTGTTTTTTTCTCACCACTTTCAAATACTTCCTTCTCTGGTTTCTGCTCTGTATACACCTTGGTTTTCTTCCTTGATCTTTTACTATTTTGTTTCCATCTTGTTCATTGGATTCTCCTCCTTCTGTTTCTCTACCTCTTCCTTAAAAGTTGATATTTCTCAGAGGTCAGTCTAAGTGTTTTCCTTTGAATTCCACATACTTCCCCCTTCAGGTCTCATCTACTGATAATTGGTTTAATAATGTTGATGTGGTGATGGCTCTGGAATTTATCTGCCTTTCTAGTCCAGTCTCTCCTTAACACTGAAGCTGATAGCCAACTACTTACTCCTAGATACTTCAAAATCAGTAGGTTAATAACAAATCTTTTTTCTCCTGCTTCTTATCACCATCACCCTTACACTCCCAGCTAGTTCCACTTTCATTTGCTTTCAATCCATTCCCCATGCTAAAGCTTTAGAAAACTAAAATTTGATCAAATCTTCTTTCTGCTAAAGAAAATGTTCTCGAACACGTCTTTAAATCCATGGTGGCAACACATCTGTAATCCCGAGGATTTGGGAGGCTGAGTAAGAAGAATTACGAGTTTGAGGCCAACCTGGGCTACACAGCAAGACCCTGTCTCAAAAAAGAAAAGGAATTTTCTTTATTTTTTTATTTTTTATTTATTTTTTTGGATATATTCCAAACTGTTCATAAATGCTTTATAGGCTTGTTTTTAGACTCATCTGGCATCACGCAAACTGTTGTACTCTCTCCTTTGCTCCATGGAATGTACGTTGCTGTCTCCTGTGTTTGTTTTCCCCAAAGTTTAAAATTAGAAAGCTGTTCAATCATCTATTGTGGTTTATTCAATATTAATGTGTAGTCACTCATATTAATATTCATTAGTAGGGAAAATTATACATTAAAAATTAAGATTCCTGTACTTCTGCTTTTTAAGATTATATAGATATATAATTCTTTTATTATTTAATCATGTATTTTCTACCCAACTAGGATTCTGTTACCTTTTATGCAGTCATATGCAAGGTCTGGAGGGTTTTCCATCACTGGAAAGATCAAAACTGCCCTGATTGAGAATGCAATCTACTATGGCACCTATTTGCTGATTTTTGGAGCATTCTTAATTTATGTAGCTGTAAATCCCCGTTTGCATTTAGAATGGTAAGAAAAGTAGCCTTATTAACATTGTTTCTGTGTACATTTGCACTTTTTAAAATTAATTCTTTATCTCATATGCAGGTAAACAGACATTTCATCAAGAAACATACCAAATTATGTATATTATAGAGTCCTCAAAAAGAATTACTGAGTAATCTATATTACTAAAAATGAATATGAAATAGCATCTTTAAATATAACTATTAGGTGACATATTAATGCTTATGTTAAAAGCAATAATACTATTTCTTAGATAGAATTTCAAATCTGTTAAATGAACAAATAGATGGTTTTCTTTTTCATTAGAACTTGTGAATATTTTTTCCTTTTGTTTTTATTGGAGTCGGAGGACATATTTGACCTTAATGTTATTTTAGCTTTAGGTATTTCAATAAGTTGTGCTTATGATATGTAATATATGTGAAGAGCTAAGTTTGAAAATTTAGGAACAGAGTAATAGAATAGAGTAGTAGGCCTCATTGTTATATTCTGAGATTTGTGTGGGTCATCCTTAACACAAATTAATTAAAAATTTATTCAGGATTCTCTTGGTTAATATTGAATAAGAAAGCACCTAGCGAAAAAAATATTTTTTCTATCTATGCATATTTTTTACCATCAATTTGCCTAGATTCTAATTTTCATTATTATAGTAACAGTGTTTCCTAGTTAAAGTCCATCTTTGCAGTCACACTCTATCTTTCCATTAAAATATACAGATATCTGTTGTGAGTGAAAAGAAGAATGTGAAAGTCTAATTTTTGCATATGAAATCCTAGCTATTGTTAAGGCAGTTTTCTAAAAAACTATTTAATACTTGTTAGTTTTATTTTATATTTTTGTAGGAAAATGTATTTATACAGCTATCTGCTTATATTTTCTCTTTCTCAGGAACCAACTTCAGACAATTGGGATAGCTGCTGCCAATACATGGGGTTTGTTTCTTCTTGTGCTGCTCTTGGGCTATGGCTTGGTGGAAATTCCTCGGTCATACTGGAATGGAGCAAAAAGGGGTTATCTTCTTATGAAGACTTACTTTAAGGCAGCCAAACTGATGACAGAGAAAGCAGATGCAGAAGAGAATTTAGAAGATGTTATGGAGGTAAGCAAATTTAAACCTTACAGAAGCAACAGTTAACCAAGTTGTATGTATTTTCTTTTTGTCACTGTTGGGTTTTTGTTGCTGTTAACATTCTTGGGCTTCAACTACAAATTTAATGCCATCCTATCCAGGATGACTTCTTATTGTCAGCCAGTCTTATGAGGGGTCATCTCCATCTTTGACTGACAAAGATTCAGGGTCAATGTATTCAATAATTCAGTTATGATTGTTGTCTTTGGGTAACTTAATAGTGTCCTCTTTCTCAGACTAGATAGTAAGTTAAATGGCTAACTCTAAAATAGTGGAGGTGAAGCTTGTAATTAGAGAATACTTCTTCCTGAGGAAGTTTAACCCAAGGAAATTCCACCAAGTCTGAAAACCTCTTTAGAGAACAATTTGCATGGGAGTTTGTATCAACAAGTTTTGTTTCATATGTGTAGTCCTAACAAGGCACTTCATTTTGTTCACTTGTAAGATGCAAATGACTTGAACTAACTTCACAAACTTACAGTAATGTATACAAAAATATACTACAAATTATAAAAATTTTGCTATGTTAGTAATAATTTGGTTATGGATTTGAGAAGAGATTATTGTAGTCACCTTACATTTTTGCTCCCATAGAAATATACCATATTGGTGAAGTTACTCTTCAACTTGAAACCTCATGTTAAAGGCCATTTTTTTTATGTTACAGTTAACTCTAAGAGTTTTAATGTGGCTTACAAAAAATAATTTGACCCATGTTTAACTCTCCATCCTTATCTCAAGCCTCCATTTATCTTACTCTTGTCACTTTGGTTACTCAGATTTGCTAATGATAAATAATAAACCATTCTATAGACTTAATATTTATCTAACACTCAGCTTTAGTTCCTCAAATTTAATAGTGGTGATAATAATAACAAACAATTATATAGACTCATTCTTTGCCTAAGATTTTCTAAGCACTTCACATATATTAATATACAATTGATCCTTGATCAATGGAGAGATTAGGAATATCAGCCCTTGTGTAGTTGAAATCCATATAACTTTTTACCTCCCAACAACTTACTAATAGCCTGCTGTTGACAAGAAGCCTTTCTGACAACATAAACAGCTTATTAATATTATTTTGTATGTCATATGTATTATATGGTAAAAATATGTTAAAATCACCAGAGTTTGTTTTTTTACTGAGATGCAATTTATGGGAGAGAGGAGGTGCTCATGCAGGGATGATCAGTCTCTCATGGTGTTTTAAGCAGATACAATACTTGAGCTCACCAGGATAGCAACAAGAGGCAGCTTTGAAATTATAATAGTACAGTACATACTATGGCTAATTTTATGCAATTATGATTTAATACTGTATGTTTGTTTACATTTCTCTTGACTGCAAATGGTGCCATATGGTCTATAAATGTTTATTTCTGTGAGTCTGATAAATTTTAACTTCTTATAATAGATTTGTATATATTTTATGGTAGTAAATGATAAAATAGCTTGTCATCTACACATATTTTATGCATTCATAACATATCTAACTTGTAAATTTGTTTTCAATATTTTTAGACTATGCAGTCCATCTGTGAATTTTTTCAAATCTCAAAAAAATCTGCAAATAAGTGGACCTGCACAGTTCAAACTCATGTTGTTTAAGGATCAACTGTTTAATTCTCAGAATGATTTTATAAGACAGATATTTTTATTCCCATTTATAAATGAAGAAAATGAGACACAGAGAATTTAAGTAACTCTCCCATGTTTACACAGCTAGTAAGTGATAGAGTCAGGCAGTCTATCTTTAGTTCATACTTTAACAGGGACCAGGAAGCTTTTTCTATAAAGGATCACACAGTAAATATTTTAGGCTTTGTATGCCATATGGTCTCTGTTGCAGTTATTTTGTCATTGCATCATGAAAGCAGCCATAGACAATACATAAATGAATGAATATGCAGTCTTACAGTATGAGAAGGTGTAATGGACTGGATTTGATCTGGTCTGACAATCCTTATTCCTAACCTTTACATTCATTACCTCTCTTTTCTGTCTTTGACCATGCTGTTCCCAAATTCTTGAGATGCTCTTTGTTCTCTTCAGCTAATTCTTACTTGATTTTCAGGTCTTACCATAAATGAGACTTCTTCAGAGATGCCTTCTGTGTTGGCATTGTAGGGCTGCTATAGTCAAAGTACCACAAACTACGTGGCTTAAACAACAGAATTATTGGCTCATAGTTCTGGAAGCTAAAAGTCTAAGATCAAGGTATTGGCAGGGTTGGTTTCCTCAGAGGGCTATAGGGAAAATCTGTTCATGCCTCTCTACTAGTTTCTGACGGTTTGCTAGCAATCTTTGGTATTCCTTGGCTTATAGATCTCTACCTTCATCTTCACATAGTGTTCTCTTGATGTTCTTTCAAAGTTCCCCTTTTTAAAAGGAAACCAGTTATATGGGATTAGAGCCCAATACACTTCATTTTGACCCCATCTTAGCAAATAACATTAGCAAAAACCCTATTTCCAAATAAGATCACATTCTGAAGCTGAGGATTAGGGTTTCAATATGTGAATTTTTAGAGAACACAGTTCAACCTGTAATACCTCCCCTGTTCCTCCTAATTTGTAGACACTCAGCAACTGTTTTTTAAATGAAGGAATAAATGAACAAATGGTTGTACACTGTGAATGGAAAATTTTATGTTGGCTTTTTAGTATTTATTTTCTGTAAAATGTAAGAACTAAAGCAGAAAATGTTGACTCAAAATATAGTAGTAGCTGGGTGCTGGTGGCTCACATCTGTAATTCTAACTACTTGAGAAACTGAGATCAGGTGGATTGTGGTTTGAGACCAGTCCTGGCAAATAGCTCATGATATCCCCATCTCCAAAATATCCAGAGCAAAATGGACTGGAGGTGTGGCTCAAGCAGTATAATGTCTGCTTTACAAGCATGTAACCCTGAGTTCAAACCCCAATCCTGTAAAAAAAAAAAAGAAAAAAATGTAGTAGTAAGTCTTCTATAAATAGTATTCTAACATATGTCCTCAGGCTTATTATGAATGTTATATTTTTCAAAAGAAGATAGTTTATATCTAATAATTTTTGTTTCTTATATTTAAAATTTGAAAATTGAAAAATATCTAAATGTTTGAAAGTGTATTTGATAAGATACTTAAATTTGATAAGAAAATCTAACTTAAATGTGATCATGTTTCTCCCAAAAGTTAGGATGAAATGCAGTTTTTGAGGGCTGAGGATGTTGCTTAAGTGGTAGAGCACTTGCCAAGCAAGCACAAGGCCCTGAGTTCAAACCTCAGTACTGCCAAAAAAAAAAAATCAGTTGTCTGAGATTTGAAGAGTTTGGATTTCATTAATTCATATTTAATATTTCTTCAAATAAAAATCATATTCAATATTTCTTCAGATAAAAATCAAGTTTGTTATTTGAGATTTGGATTTAAATGTCTGAATGAAATATTCATTAGGTAGGAGCCCTTTGCGTAGGAATAAGATGTTGAAAATTAAGAACTTGGATTGGTACCTTCTGTGCTATTTTATTATAGTATTAATAGGTTTCAAGTGGGGGTATTAAAGTGTGGTCTTAATAAGTAAGTGTGGAATGAGTCAATCGTGACTGCTACAGAATATTTTCATGGAAAGGAGTGGGCACTTTGTGCCATGTGTAGTCTTCTCTTTCTTTTGGTTTCTTGACTCTATTTTAGATAATGAGATCATTGATCTTGAAGAGCCAGAGGGAAAAATTTAATCCTGTTCTTTTAGAAACACAAAATTTGTCAGATCCCTTGTAAACTTTCATAGTAATGCTTATCATATTCCTGTACAAAGTAAGCAAATGATAAAGAAGTGAATCTAGAAAGTAAAAAATGTGAGGGCATAGATACAGCTATTCATTTACCTTATGTTTGTTTTCACATGTGTTCTTAAGAACTTTTATTCAGCAAAAAGAACTTCATTTAATGCTTAGTAATTTGACTTGAAACTAAATTTGTGAGAATATAGATAGTATTTAGTGCACTTTCATTTGAAATGTCTGATCTGTAAAAATGGAAATATTTTTATATTTCTCACTATTTTTGTAGGAGGTTCGAAAAGTGAATGAAAGCATCAAGTATAACCACCCACTGAGAAAATGTGTTGATACAATACTTAAAAAGGTAATTAAATTATACCTTCTATTTCCTTTTGAAATACTTATATACTGCATAAATTTATATTTTATGTATTAAATGCATCAGAAAAATATTTAAAAAGCTCTAGCTGGGGTCTTCCCAATGCATTTTCACAGAAATCTTAACCATAAGCCAGTAGTCATTTGTACATAGGGTTTATTCTTTTATTATTACAAGTTTGACATTAATTGTTGACATTATTTTCCATTGAAATGTGGCGATAAAGGTGAGATTGAGTAATGTACAATAATTGTTATGATATAGTGATGGAAATAAACCTTTAAATGCCATTGTACATGATTGTTAGAGGCATATCTCCTATAAGAAAATAAAATAGGGCCTCAATAATCTCTTTCAGTCAATTTCCTACATGTCATTTTACCATATATTTCATATAATGTGAAACAAATGGCATTTTGAAATATGCAGCGTAAGTATTTAATAAGAAGCTATTCTATTAAAATTTTGATGCAGTGGTACTGACTTGTATGTATTCGTATACAGTAGACCGTTGGTATTCATGGGTATATCATTCCAAGGAGACCACTACTGAGGAAAACCACTAATGTTCAGGATGCATGGAGTCCAGTATTGTACAGCAGATGCTTGATTCACTTTTGCCATTGTACCCCCAGCTTCTGCAAAAAATATGCTCACTTTCAACAAATGTAAAATTAAGCATATTAACTTTTACCTCGTTTTTGGGTCAGCATTTGCTTTTTAGGAGGCATTTCACAGTATTAAGAGCAGAGAAACATTCAGCAACTCACAATAATTTGAATACAAGTGATGATAATGTGGAATTACTGAGTGCTTCTCTGCAGCAACTGATCTGTGTATACCCATGGAAATTTAAAACTTTTACTTTTGATTTTTTAAATTACTCATTTTTTAACTTGCTTGATCAAAAACCACATAAAATAAACCCACAAATAAGGCTTACTGTACTTCCAAAAGTGGTTATTTGCAAAGTTCCCCAGTTGTCTTTGCACCCACAAAATCATGTTTAAATCAGTTGTACTATTTATTAGCTAGTGTTCTTTTGGGTAAAATAATGGTCGTAGGAAAAATCTTCTAACCATTTTTCTCCTATTTGCTACTTTTTGAAACCTATTCAGAGTGTATGTGTTTCTCTGCACTATGCTTTTCAAAAAATTAAGCATCTTGGGTTTGTTTTGATTCTTCTTCATTGTTTAGCTAGGAAAATGAGTGACAGTTTCATCAGGTGCCTACTTAGAATAATGCCCTCAAATCCAAGTTGGTTCACATAGGTAGCTCCCCAGCCTTTAGTAATCCCCCACTTGGATATCTGAGTGTAAAGATTAATATTAATAGAAGTGAGAAGAGACCAGGCCAGTTGCTCATACCTGTAATCCTAGATACCCAGGAAATAGAGATCAGAAAAATCATAATTCTAGGCCAGCTTTGGTAAAAAGTTAGTGAGAGCCCACCTCACAAATAAATTGGGCATAGTGGCATACACGCCCATAATCCCAGCTACAAGGAAGGCCATAGGTAGGAAGATCATGGTCCAAAGCTAGCAATGAGCAAAAGTGTGAGGAGACTTTGTCTGAAAAATAAAGCAAAAAAGGACTATAGGCATGACTCAAGTGGTAGTACACCTGCCTAGGAAGTGCAAGCCCTGATTTTCAAATCCTAATACTGCCAAAAAAAAAAAAAGTGAGAAGAAACGCAATGCATCACTTAAACATTTTCATGAAAATGTTAGCAAGAGAAAACCTGTTTAGAGATACAAATAGAAAGAATATATTTTTGAGAAAATTTGAAATGACCAGGAATGAAAGATTTTTTTTTCTTTTTTTTTTTTGTGGTACTGGAGTTTGAATTTAGGGCCTACACCTTGAGCCACTCCACCAGCCCTTTTTCATGATAGGTTTTGTTTCAAGATAGAGTCTTGCAAACTATTTGCCCAGGCTAGTTTCAAACCAGGGTCCTCTTGATCTCTGCCTCCTGAGTAGCTCGGATTACAGGGGAGAGCCACCAGTGCCCTGGTAAAGATTTTTAATAAAAATAATTTTATCTTTCAAAATTAAGATTTTATAAAATCTGCTTGTTTCTTTTAGTGCCCTACGGAGTATCAGGAAAAAATGGGTAGGAACATGGATGATTATGAAGATTTTGATGAAAAACGTAATACCTACCCAAGTGAGAAAAGTCTGGTAAAATTGCATAAACAGGTAAATTTAATTGTTAAATTAAATGATGACTTCAATAAGATTTATAATTATTGTCCACTAAAATGGAATTTTGAGTGAATGTATATCTAAAACTTTTTATCCTGTTCTTCTTATTACTCTTTGAAATGTTTCAACTTTTGTGTTTCTGCACAGGGTGCTTTTGGAAAATGGGGCAGGAGAATTAAAGTATCATATTATATAAAAGAAGAACCAAAACACTTAAAAATATTAACATCCTTGGCCCCAGCTAGTAAATGTCACTAGCACTTCTTCTTTGTGACAGAGAAACAAAGGAAGATACCCCTGGCAGTAACTTGACTGACTGTTGGAGCAACTATTTACCCATTTTCTCTTTTTTAGGTGATTTATTCAGTTCAGAGGCACCGTCGAACTCAAGTACAATGGCAAATTCTTTTGGAACAAGCATTTTATCTGGAAGATGTAGCAAAAAATGAAACTAGTGCAACTCATCAGTTTGTTCACACATTTCAATCACCAGAGCCAGAAAATAGATTCATCCAATATTTTTATAATCCTACAGTTGGTATGTGATTTGGTGAAACTTTTAAAGTTTAGTGATACTTTTTCTTTAGGAACAAAGTAGATATTTTCACCTCACCAAGGCAAAACCAAATTTTGCTTTATTATTTTATTTATACCATGTGGTAATATTATGTATCTGATAAACTTCCCTCCAAAATAACTATTTTACTTGTCATATATATCCATCAATTTCTACTGATACTTCACAAATAAAGTTCTATGCAAAAATATATGCAGTATAACCACGTACGGTGGTATACCCCTGTATTTTCAGCTACTCAGAGATAGGAGTATTGCAGTTCAGACCGGCCCTGGCAAAAAATATGAGACCCTATCTCAAAAAATAAGACAGGGCCAGGCATGGTGGCTAATACTTGTAATTCCAGCTACTCAGGAGGCAGAGAGATTGGGAGGATCCTGGTTTGAGGCCATCACAGGCAAAAAGTTAGCAAGACCCCATCTCAACAGATAAGCCCCAGCTACATGGGAGTCTATAGGTAGGAGAATCATAGTACAAGGGCTGTCCCTGGCAAAATCATGAGACCCTATCTGAAAAACAACTAAAAAAGCAAAAAAGGCCTAGGAACATGTCTAAAGTGCAAACGCTTGTAAGGCCCTGATTTCATACACCAGTATCACCAAAAAAACCATAGCTGGATATGGCAGTATACACTTGTAATCACTGTTACCTGGGAAGCAGAGGTAGGAGGATTATGGTCCAAGGCCAGCCCAGGCAAAAAAGCAAGAACTTATTTGAAAGAAACTAAAAGCCAAAAGGGCTGGTGGATGACTCAAGGTGTAGAGCGCTTGCCTAGCAACTACAAGAAGAGTTCAATTTTATATCAAAAGTTCAAGTCTCTTCTTCAGGCTTGACCTACTACTAAAATATTTCCCACAAAAGTTCTCTAATTATTTACATTTATTAGTCTTATTTATAAAACCTATACTCTATAGTCATCATTATTTTTTATCCTCTATGACTGCTTATGACACTCCTTTTAAATGTTATCATGGTTAGTATGATGCAACTTAATGCAAGTACTAAAGTGTCAGAGTTACTACTCAAATCAATGTTATTAATTCAAATGGTTATATTCACTTAATTCTCTTTTGCATGGTTGGTCTTCAATATGAAGACTCAGTGGACAAAGCAAATATTTCAGAAAACTTCAACAAAGGTTCTTTCTAGTTAAATGAAGGAGGAATATGGTACCTATTTTCATTCATTCTGTATATATTTGAGTGTATAAATGATATGGGTGTCTGGTTATATCACTTTAAAAAGATAAACACAAGGATATAAATAAGGAGGCTGAGTGGGTGGTGATAGAAATTAAAGACAGAACCCTGGTATGCACATATAAAGTAGGGTGCCACTGATGGCAGTGTAATGAGCTATGGGTCAAGATAAAATGGGTGAAGAAGTGATTGGAATAGGAAAGGGAGAAAAATCTGAAGACTAAGCCTGAGGCAATGCAGGATCCAAAGATTAGGTTGATAAGGACAGCCAGATAGGAGGAAAACCAGAACAGCAAAATGTTTTGTAGATAGGTTATATCACGAATACTAATACTTGTCCACGAGATTTCAGAGAACTAAGATAGGGGAGGAGTGAAAAAAAAAAACAACCTGATTGGAATCTAAAAGAAATAAGCAATTAAATATAGTCAGAATAGAAAGCTCTCAAAATGTTTTCATTATAAAATGAAACAGAAAAGGGGTAATAGGTGACAGGATTGAAATGAAAAGAAATTAGAGCATGTAATGTGGGAATGACATCATGAAGAGTAGTAGAGATGAGATGGAAGAAAAGGCCTTACATTAGGAGGTCAGGCACAGATAAACTTTAGGTTCAAGTGAGAAGATGTAGTGGCAGAAATGTGGGGACATTCTCTTCTGATTGCTTCTACTTTCTCAGGGAAATACTGAAAATAAGTCTAGGGAAAGATTTTGGAGAAGATGCAAAACAGTTGCCTAGGAGAGTGGGTGAAATTGGGGGATTACAGTAGGCTGCCAATACAATGCTGAGGGCCCGCTTGATGTTAGTTATTAATAATTTAAAGGGAGGGCTGGTGGAAATGGCTCAAGTGGTAGAGTGCCTACCTAGCAAGCCTAGCAAGTGTGAGACCCTGAGTTGAAGCCCAGTACTGTCAAAAAAAAAAAGAATGTAAGGGGAGACCAGCCAGTAAAGTTGTATGTTTTTCTTCTGCAATATGCAGCTACATGCATGCAAACTCAAAGTAGTCAGGAAGTTAGATTTAAACAGAGTGTGGTTTAGCTAAGCAAGTACCATGAAGCAAGAGAGAGAGAAGGAAGCAGGACACTAGAGATTGGTTATCCTTAAAGACTGACTAATCTGAGCTGGGTAAGGAAGAAAATAAGAGCAATCTGTTCAGTAATAATAGAAAGGTAATAGAATAAATGTTTTGTTGTTCCACATAGTCAGTCAGTGGGGTTGTAATACAGATGAAGATATTGCATGGAGATGAGGTTGATAGAATTGGAGTACAGTAGACCCTTCGTATCTATAATTCCAAGGAGACCTCTGTTGAGGAAAAGCCTCAAATGTTCAGGATGCATAGAGCTCAGTACTCTAAAATTACTTAAATTTACCTACATGGTATATACGGTAGATCTGAGCATTCATAACTTGAAGCCATACAAAAATTTTTGTTATACACATTAATATTACTCATGAAAACATAGCTCATTACACTGCCATCAGTGGCACCCTACTTTATATGTGCATACCAGGGTTCTGTCTTTAATTTCTATCACCACCCACTCAGCCTCCTTATTTATATCCTTGTGTTTATCTTTTTAAAGTGATATAACCAGACACCCATATCATTTATACACTCAAATATATACAGAATATCTATAATTTTCAATTTATCACTTAAATTCAGCACATTATCTGCCCCTTTTGGCTTGGGAGGATTAACATACTTTTTGGGCAACATTTGCATTTTTGGAGGCATATTTTCACAAAATTAAGGGCTGAGAAACACTCAGCAGATCACACAGCAATTTAAACCAATTAGTAATAATGCAGGACTGACTGAAAACTCTGCATCAGCTGAGTTGTGTAGTGCATGAGAATTTTAAATTGTTTTTGAGATTTCTTTTAATTTACTTATTGATTGATTCATTTATTTCTCTATACGTGGTCAAAATTGCATGTAATTAATCTGCAAATAAGGTAAGGTTACTGTATACGGAAAGATTGCAGTTGTTGGCAATAAAAGGTTTAAAGAGGACTGGAGCTGAGTAACTGAGATAGGGTGCACAAGATATTTAGAGGAAAGGAGGTAAAGGCATGAGAAACTAGGTTATTGAAAGAAGGATTCTTATGTGGATATTTAAATCACTGGGAATTATGCTGAAAGTAGGATTGAAAAGACTTAGACAGTGAGCCAAGATCTCACATTTTCAGTAAATGAAATGAAAATATAGCCTTGCTAGATGTATAGCTCAATGATAGACTATGTGCTTAGCATGCCCGAGGTCCCAGGTTCAATCCTCAGTACTATATTTTTCTATACCCTTTTCAATTTATTGAGCTTTCTCTTTCCTTTTAGCTTTTATTTTTACCAAAATTCAGATTCAGCAAAACCAGAATCTCACAAAGTATACTTATATATCTAGGTTCTGTTGTTTTCTATGTATATTTTTCCTTAATCTTTCAAAATTGTATCCAAACATGATGTTTTTTTGCCCCGAAATGTTTCAGTGCATATTTCCTAAAAATAAAGATATTTTCTTCATAATCAAGTACAATTATCAAAATTAGGAAATTAATATTGATGTTATACTATTACAGACTGATTCATATGTTGCTTAATTATCCTACGGATTCTCTTTGATCATACCTTGTATTCATTTGTCATGTCTTCTTAGTCCTTTTACTGTGAGACAGTTTCTTGGTCTTTATGTCAATACACACACACACACACACACACACACACGCACACGTATGGCAGCAGTGGAGTTTAAACTCAGGTCCATATGCTTGCTAGGCAGACACTCTTACAGCTTGACTCACTCTACCAGCCCTTTTATTGAGATAGGGTTTAATGAACCATTTGCCTGGGCCTGACTTCGAACCATGATCCTCCTGATCTCTGCCTCTTGAGTAGTTAGGATTACAGGTATGAGCCACTGGCACTCAGCTGTTATGTATATTTTATAACAGATGTTTGTGAAGAATACAGGGCACTTTTTTTGTTGAATGTCTCTGAATTTGAGTATGATATGTCTCCATCACCAAGCAGTGATGTCATGTTGTCAGTTTGTCTACTGGTGATCATTTGGCTAGTGTGCTGTCTGTTTTCTACACTGTAAAACTGGGATTTTTCTCTTTGTGGTTTCTGTTGGGTGATATTTTAAAACAATGTAAATACATAGTTACTCCTTTAGTTTACTTAATTATACTTTTCTTTTATCTTCCAGAATGGTACTGGGAATGTCTTTTGCGGCCATGGTTTTACAGGATACTTGCTGTGGTTTTGTCCATCTTCTCTGTAATTGTGGTGTGGTCAGAGTGCACGTTCTTTAGCACAACTCCTGTTTTATCCCTCTTTGCAGTCTTCATACAGCTGGCAGAAAAAACATACAATTATATTTATATTGAGGTTAGTTCACGTCCTTTTTATTATAAATATATGTCAGTTCATAGATAATCCTTAACTGTTGTTTTTTTTCTCATAGATTTCTTCTAGTAATAATAAAAAGCAGTGACGTTTTCCACAGTGTAATTATTCATAGTTTCAAAAATGAACTTTATTCATCTACTCAAACTATAAATAGTAAAAGCTGTATTTGAGAAGTGAAGAGGTGCAAGATAGTACAAAATTATTTTTGTCAGTGAAGCTATATAACTTATTATCTTCATGTGAAAATGGCCAAGGAAATGGGAAAGTAGGCTCACTTCGGGAGGTAGATTTGAAACTTATGGATCTAGAATACTGAACTTATTGAAATGTAGGGTTTTTTTTTTAAGGTATTGTCTTAGGTATTAAAAATTCCATTATTATATTTAAACTTTAGAATATCAATAAATGTTAGCTATAAAAGAAGGGTATTAGTCTTAAACTGTTTTGCTTTTTTTGGTTTTTTCCAGATTGCTTGCTTCCTTTCCATCTTCTTCTTAAGTATCTGTGTTTATTCTACTGTATTCAGGATTCGTGTCTTTAACTATTATTACTTGGCTTCACATCACCAGACTGATGCTTACAGTCTTCTTTTCAGTGGCATGTAAGTAGGATTCAGTTTAGATACAAGAGAGATGTCTTCATTGTACGCATTGTTATGGATCCCTTTATTTCTTGTTTATGGATGTTGTGCCTATATTCTATGAGCCAGATGATTTGGTAGTAAGTGGGTGTTTGTTGATTTCCAGCTAAGTCCTGCTTGATGTTTAAGGTTAAATTAGGTATGCTACATTAGGAGGGAGAAGAAAGACATAGTAAACCCAAATTTACCAATTAAAGATTCAGTATATAAATGAATAAATAATATGAAAAATGGAGAGTTTAAAGACAAAGTCAGATGTGGAGAGTGTTCTGAAAGTCAGTAGCCTCATACTATATTGAAGAGGACTAAACACCAAAAAAACCAATTTTTCCTATGGAATTTAGAGAGAGTTGAGAGAGATGCTCTAGCTTGGCTAGATTACACAATTTATTACTTACTGCTAAATCAATTATATTGAGTATTTGTAAAGGTTGAAATCAGAGAAGTTCATAGAGGAATTGATAAACAAATTTTTATTTGTATAAAAATAATTATGGACTGTGTTAGTCAATTACTAGTTGCTGTGACAGTATACCTGATGTAAACAACTTGAGATAGGAAAGATTAATCTTAGCTCACGATTTCAGAGGCTTCAGTTCGTGGTTGGTCCCATTGCTTTGGACCTAATGTAAGGCAAAACATGCAGCTCTACATGGCAGAGTAGAGCTGCTCACCTCATGGTAGGCAGAAGGGGAGGGAGGGAAGGAGGTAAAGAGGAAGGGATGGAGGGAGAGCTTGAGAGGGAAGAGGAGAGATGGGTAAGTGAAGAGGGGAGAAGTAAAAGGAGAGAGGGAAGGGGATAGAGACAGAGCTACTTCCTCCAGCTAGGCCCCACCCCGCAAAGTTTCCACACCTCCAAAAATAGTACCACCAACTGAGGACCAAGTTTTCAACATAAGAGCCTGTGGGAGGACATTTTATAATTAAACTGTTACATGTTTACAGGACTTATAAGAAGTTACAAATATATACAGAATCCTATATAACCGTCCCAAGCTTCTCCTAATGGAGATACCTTCTATAGTTGTTGTACAATATCAAAACTAGGAAATTTACATTGGAACATTACTGTTAGCCACACTGCTGATCTTCTTTTTTTTCTTACCATTTTATTATCCTTCATTTGTGTACATAGATTCCTACAGCCACCATCACCATCAAGTTATAGAATTGTTTTCTCCACACTTTATATCACACCCTTTATATTCATATCCTCTCATTCTTCTGGCCCATAATTCCCTGACTCTGTAGTTTTGTAAAGTACTTATTTTATCTGAATGAAACTGAACATTTCTTTATACCTGTACCTGCCACAATAACAGATTTTGCTATAATTTTATACACTGATCCTCAAATCACCTTGAGGATGTTACTGTTCTTGTCATGCTGTTAGATAGTTGCACAGATGGTAGAGTTGAAGGAGGTATGTGCAAAGACTGCCCAAAAATTACGAGGATAAAAGAGTGGCATATACTACCAAAGCAGGCAGCCTGAGGCTGCAGTTCTGATGTAAGTATTGATGATTTTAAGGCAGATGTGGTCAGTTAGGATTTTCAGAATGAAGTAAAAGCGGTTCATATTAAGGATTCAAAATATATATTATTCAAATAGATAAAATTATAACTACAATGATCTGAAACATTCTTAATATACTTCCCTATAAGATGTATCTTGCCACATTTTTTAATATGTATTCAATATGGTATCTTAAAATGTTTACTGCAGGTTATTTTGCCGTTTGACTCCTCCTTTATGTCTTAATTTCTTGGGCTTGACCCATATGGATTCATCCATCTCTCACCAGAATACTCAGCCAACTGCTTATACATCTGTAAGTATGATCAGAAAAACATGGGTTTTTTTTGGATTCATTAACTAGATGAGATTTTATTATGAAAGTTCTTTTTATGCTATAGCAGAGAAGTTCTATAGCATTATTGGACTCTTGTAATTAAACTTTCTCTTAAAGGTTATATATGTAATTACTAATGATTGAGTTAAAGTGATTTTGCTTTTCTTATTTTAAAAATGATTTTGGTTCATATGGGTTGTCTAGCTGAACATTGTCTAAAGACCTGACCTATAATAGTAATATCTTTTATATTTATAGTGTTAGTATGTAGTTTTGAGTAATATTTGTAAAACTTTAGTTTTCATTGGGAGAAAAGCTTGATAGAAAGCAAGATTTTTTTTTAATCAGACCACTTAGTGTTTTGTTTCTATTTTTTGAAAAGTCTTCATTTATTGATTTAAATGATTATGGGAAAATGTTCAAAATGTTCTAATGATGTAAAGTAATGAAAAATATAGAATTATGCTTACTTAACTTACTTTTTTCTTGCTCTTCAGATTATGGGTTCCATGAAAGTTTTATCCTTTATTGCAGATGGTTTCTATATATATTATCCTATGTTGGTAGTAATTCTCTGTATTGCTACTTATTTTAGGTAAGAAACTTAACATTTTTTCTTGTACTCTTAGTTTAATCTAGATACTCTTTCCCCTTAAAACTTTTGAAAACATTTACTGGTTAGGTTTTAGTTGTTTGTTTTATTGTGGCTTTGGGGGAGCTGGGAATAGTTTGATGGGATTGCTTGAGTGATCATGTCATGTTCACCTGCTAAGGTATTTTAAAGAAAAGAGAAGTAGAGTCATTCTGTTACAATTATTTAGGCTACACAGTGATAGGATTACTTTCAGAATGTTAAGTCCTTTCCTATGACAAGGATAGCTAGTATAGCTTGCAAAACCCCTTCATCCCATCTTCTCTCCAGTAACATAATTCACTTTTTGCACTTTTCCCATATTTATTGCTGACTTTCCAAATGATTCAGACTGTGGCCATCACAAAGGGTCATATGTGCAGCAACTGTAATGAAGGAATACACATAGGGTTGGAGGAAAAATTTTCCCCTACTTTTGGAAGGTATATGGACTTCCCTTTTTATGGGACTTAAGAGAGGATAGTAGAATCTTGACAAGGATATGTTTCAAAAGGAATTAAAGGATAGGTATGCTTGCTCTGACACCCTGTCAGAAGACAGAACTAGTAGTTATTATTTTCTAATGAAAATAAATCTTATCTGCATACTTTTATTTAAATCTTAAATATCATTTAGTTATTATAAATAATATATACCAATATTAAGGTAACGAATAAACAGATAATGTTTAAGATAAATTCTATATCAAATTTTAAAAATATTTGTTTTACTTTCTAAACTATCTAAAAGATTATAACTTAAAATAATACTCAATGTAAACTGATTGCAAAACTAGTATTTTGAATTTTTTAAAGTAGAAAAGACAGACATATACTATGAAAATTATGTTTTTAAAAAAGAGACTAAAAATACTTTGTACATCTGAAACTAAGTTTTGATTATATGCTTATTCATTGTAATAATTTATAAAACTTCTATGGAACATTGAGAGCTCACAATGTACAAATGATATCTTTTCATGTTAGTTATGTTGGTAATATTAGCTTTTTGAGATGAGATGGTAGTATGGATGATATGGTTTAAGATAGTATTTGTCATTTATAAAATCTTAAGTGTAAAGAATTATGTTTAAAAGGAGAATGTTAAACTTAAAAATAATCATTAAAAGTTTTTCTAAGCTGCGTATGAGTAATCCTAGTACTTAGAAGGATGAGGCAGAAATAAGAGTTCAAGACCAGCATAGGCTATGTAGTGAGGCCCTGTTTCAAAAAGAGGAAAAAAAAGTTTTTCTGGAATTAATTAGAATAAACTTTGAGTGCCATTTTATCTTAAGGGAAAAGGGTCATGTCTCTCAATTTGAAAGTATCTTACAAAATAAATATTCTGTTAGAGAAGTATATAAACCATACCTTTCTGACATTTTAGTGGTAGCTTGACTTTATATCTACATTTTCTTTTGCAATTATGCCATAGTTAGTGTAATATCTATATTAGGAGCAACATATCCATATTCCTAGCTAAAACTTAGACTTAGCTGCCTAGAGAGGATAAGGTTATTTCTTGACATTTGAAGGTAAGACCTTCCCAGAGGTAGTAGTTTAGTTCCAGGCTTCTTATCCTAATGTATAGTGTTCCCACAAGGATGTGAAGATGGTTAAGGGAATGTTTCAAGTCACAGAATTAACATGATTATCTATCTGAAACCCTATTTTTACTCAATTGTAATTCTTATAAAGCATTCTTTTTATATTAAATAAACACATGTACACTGAATTAGTTAGATAGTCATACATTTTCAATGTAACTAGGAGATCTTCACTTTAACTGCCCCTATGTTTTCTCTTCTCTGCATGTACAATTAATTTTGTCTTTTACTTCTCCTTTCCCTTTGCCCCTCTCTCCATGTATGTATTCAGGTTTCTGCCATTAGAAGTATATCAGTGAAAAATAAAAACAGTTGTATGGTTTTTGTTTTATCTTGGATTTAAATCCCAGCTCTGTAATCTAGTAAATTATATTTAGGAAATTATTTCACCCCTTGGACCTGTTTCTTTATCTGTAAAGTGATATTTATTTCTTTGAATTATAGTAAGAATTAAGAGACTATCTGTGAATTGTCTGTTACATAGTAAGATCTTAACAATATTAATGCTGCATATCCATCTATTGCTTCCTTCCTTGTCTTTTTCTGCACGATAATCAGATTCAAATAAATAGCAAATAAAATAGAAATTGTCGTAGATAAGTGATCATATATCACTATCCTCAGGAAAAATCTACATAATTAAGTCTTTCTAAACTAGAATATTCTACCCTTGGAAATTCTGGCTTTATAACTTAATAAATTACAGAGCTGGGATTTAAATCCAAGATGAGTTTACTTTCATAAGAAGTCTTGATATAGTATACACCCTAGAGATTAAAGTATTGGGCATAAGCTTCTTCAAAAGGAAATTAAGTATTTCTTGGAGAAATGCTTGCTATAGAACTAAAATAATGAACCACAGGTTTCTTTGGAGTACTAACACTAAAGAATAGTTGATCTAAATGCTTATATTGTAAAATGTTGCTTATCTTTTTTTAAAATAAAATGCTTATCTTTTTGAAAATCTACTTTTATTAGTTTGGGAACCCGTTGTTTGAATCTGCTTGGTTTCCAGCAGTTCATGGGAGATAATGATATGACATCAGACTTAGTTGATGAAGGAAAAGAATTAATCAGACGAGGTAAGGTTTATCTTTTAAAGTAAATTAAGGGAAAATACTTAGTGCTGAGACTCAAAGTATAAAGTTAATGTTTGTATAATTTGCAAATAATGTTTAAAAAATGCAGCATTTTAGCTAAAAATCTACATGCAGCTTTTGTAGCAAAAATAATCTGAACACATAAATAATTGTTTCATCTATCTTTAAGAAATTCTTCAGCATAAATTATTAGTATGTCTGCAAGTAACTAACACCCATTTATGGTGTTTGTATTTGTGTTAATCACCTTTCTATTTTTTGTTACAGAATACCTGAATAAACAATTTATAAGAGGAAATGTTTATTTTGGTTCATGGCTTTAGAGGTTTTAGTCCACGGTCATTTGGCCCTACTGTCTTTGGACAAATGGCAAGGCAGCACATTATGGTAGGGAGCCACTTGTTGGGGTAACCAGTTCATTTCATAGAAGCCAGGAAGCAAAGATTGACGCAGGAGGGGTCTCAACATTCCCTTCAAGGACATGCTCCAATGACCTAACTTCCTTCCACCTAAGGTCCATTTTCTAAAGACTCCAGCCATTTCCCAAAAGTGTCACAAACTAGTGACCAGGGAGGAAATTAACATACAAACCTTAACACAGTGTTTTTCATGTTTGTCTTGAAACATATTTGCCAATTTTTATACAACCGTAACACTCATTTATAGTGTTATAATTTAAAGAATCATTAGTTTGAGCTGCATGGGGAATCATTCAACCCCAGGCTATTTTTTTTTTTTTCTTCGATACTGGGGCTTGAACTCATCTTGAGCCACTCCACTAGCTCTCTTTTGTGAAGGGTTTTTTCAAGATAGGGTCTCACAAACTATTTGTCTGGGCTGGCTTCAAACCCCGATCCTCCTGATTTCCGCCTAAGGCTATTTGTTTAGAATGTGATAATCATTGATGTGTGAACATGAGTGCTATTAGAATACACAGCACTCTCCTAGAATCTTATCACAAAATTGAATGTATTAGTGGTTTTTGAATGTATTAAATTTACTGATGTTCAAATGATGGTAGGATTGGGATAGAAACTTTGTCTTTGATTCTTAGTCCTCAGAATTAACTAGTATAGCTTCACATGCTCTTGTGGGAAGGTAGTGTATAGTTGATGTAATTGTTCTCATCTGGTACATCACACCCAGTTTCAAGTAAGGTTTTCACACATCAGAATGACAAACTGGAAGCATATCCTGAAGAGACTGGTGACCCCAAACACTTGAGTATATAACCTGAAGAGAGTGATAAGGGGAAAGACTCATGTACAGAAAATAAAGAAAGTAGGAACTTAGTTTAGGAAAAAGGACTAAATGAGAGTAGAAGTTACAGAGAAATAAATTTTAGGTCACCGTGAGGGATAACTTTTTCCTTGTAATACACTGATATTTCCTATGTCCTGAATTGAACTCTGAGATCCTTTCTATCATTAACTATTGCTTTTAATTTTGTAGTAATTTAAAAGAAATGTCAGTCATATCCTGGTATCTTTACTTCAGTTACTTTATGTCGAATTAAACCGTGTTACATGAAATTTGAGGCTGTTTTTCTCTCTAGAGAAGAGAAAAAGGCAAAGGCAAGAGGAAGGTGAAAATCGAAGAAGAGTAAGTACAGTATTTTATTAAGTTGCTATAATCAAAGATTAATGTGAAACATGAATCTTACTTATTTGAAATAATTGGTTAAAGATAGAAAATTAGTGGGGAAATGACATAGTATGTACTTTCAAAGAAAGGGAATTTTAATGCTTTCACATACATATGCTAGGTGATCTGTCAGATTTGTTATAAAAAGTTGTTATTAATAAAATATTTCATTTGTGTCTAACATCAAATAGTTTCTTGCCTGAGGTATGTGCTCAGTAAATGTTTATTAAATGAGAAATAAATTCATGCAATCTTGCCATTAAAGTGGTTTTAGATTGATTTAAAATTGTTATGCTTTCTTGTAATACGCAATTAATTTTTTCTCCTTAGTTTCTCTTCAGTATTCCATTTGCTGAGGCAAACTAACCTCCTCCTAGAGTGTAAAAAAAACCCCAGAAAAATTAGAAAATCTATTCACAGTTACCACAAATTTTATACACCTGAGTGTATTTATATTGGTGAAGTGAAAACTAACAGGAGACTTGATAGTTGTCTATGTATATTTTAGTATATATCATGTAAAAGGAAGATATTCTTTATTTCAGAAGGCACAACTAGAGCCAAAGAGTAGAAGTTACAGAAGGTTGATTTCATATCTTCCCCTCTCTCTCTCTTTCTCTCTCTCTGTCTCTTTCTCTCTGTCCTGTCAATCTCACTTTTTTCTTTGGTTTTTATTAGTGTTATATTAATTCTACAGAGGAGTTTCATACTTCCATACATGCATACAATATGTACTTTGTTGGATTTTTTTTATATTCGTTTATTCACATGTGCGTACATTGTTTGGGTCATTTCTCCCCCTTCTCCCCCACCCCCTCCCTCTCTCCCCACCCCCTTTTGCTTCCAGGCAGAATCTGTTCTGCCCTTATCTCTAATTTTGTTGGAGAGAAAACAAAAGCAATAATAAGAGAGACAAAGCATTTTTGCTGGTTGAGGTAAGGATAGCTATACAGAGAGATTCCTAGCATTGCTTCCATGTACCAATGTGTTACATCCCAAGTTAATTCATCTCTTATTGACCTTTTCACTAGTTCCTGATCCCCTTCTCATGTTGCGCTCTATCACTTTAAGGTTCCTGTATTAGTTCCACTATAGGAGGGACATCAAATACTTTCATGTTTTGGGTTTCTTACCTATCTCCATACGTCCCATGAGTGCTCACCCCTTATCATGTGATCCAAGTCCAGCTGCATTGCTTCACTTGCTCTAGAGCTAAAGTCCTCATATGAGGGAGAACATATGATTTTTGGTCTTCTGAGCCTGGCTAACCTTGCTCAGAATGATGTTCTCCAGTTTCATCCATTTACTTGTGAATGATAAGATTTCATTCTTCTTCATGGCTGAGTAAAATTCCATTGTGTATGAGTACCACATTTTCTTAATCCATTTGTCAGTAGTGGGGCATCTTGGCTGTTTCCATCTCTTGGCTATTGTGAATAGTGCTGCAATAAACATGGTGTGCAGATGCCTCTGGAGTAACCTGTGTCACATTCCTTTGGGTATATCCCCAAGAGTGGGATTGCTGAATCATATTGCAGATTTATGTTTAGATTTTTAAGAAGCCTTCAAATTTTTTTCCAGAGTGGTTGCACTTGCTTGCACTCCCACCAGTAGTGTACTAGGGTTCCTTTTTTCCCCACATCCTCACCAACACCTGTTTTTAGTGATGTTATAACAGGGGTGAGGTGGAATCTTAGTGTGGTTTTGATTTGCATTTCCTTTATGGCTAGAGATGGTGAGAATTTTTTCATGTGTTTTTTGGCCATTTGAATTTCTTCTTTTGAGAAAGTTCTGTTTAGTTTAGTTGTCCATTTCTTTATTGGCTCATTGATTTTGGAAGAGTTTAGTTTTTTGAGTTTCCTGTATATTCTGGTTATCAGACCTTTGTCTGATGTATAGCTGGCAAATATTTTCTCCCACTCTGTGGGTGATCTCTTTAGTTTAGAGATCATTTCTTTTGTTGTGAAGAAGCTTTTTAGTTTTATGAAGTCCCATTTGTCCATACTTTCTCTTAGTTGCTGAGCTGCTCAGATTCTATTAAGGAAGTCCTTGCCTATACCCATTACTTCCAGGGTGTTTCCTACTCTTTCCTGTATCAATTTCAGAGTTTCGGTCTGATGTTAAGATCCTTGATCCAGTTTGAGTTGATACTAGTGCAAGGTGATAAACATGGATCTAGTTTCAGTTTTTTTGAGATGGATAACGACTTTTCCCAACAACATTTGTTGAAGAGGCTGTCTTTTCTCCATCATATATTTTTAGTGCCTTTGTCAAAGATAAGTTGGGCATAGCTGTGTGGGTTCTTATATGGGTCCTCTATTCTGTTCCACTGGTCTTCATGTCTGCTTTTGTACCAGTACCATGCTGTTTTTATTGCTATTGCTTTGTAATATAGTTTGAAGTCTGGTATTGTGATTCCTCCAGCATTGCTCTTTTTGCTTAGTATTACCTTGGCTATTTGTGGTCTCTTGTGTTTCCAGATGAACTTTAGGGTAGATTTTTCAATCTCTGTGATGAATGTCATTGGGATTTTGATGGGAATTGCATTAAACATGTAGATTGCTTTTGGTAGTGTAGCCATTTTTACTATGTTGATTCTCCCAATCCATGAGCACGGGAGAGCTCTCCACCTTCTGTAGTCTTCCTCGATCTCTTTCTTCAGGGGTTTGTAATTGTCTTTGTAGAGATCATTCACATCCTTTGTTAAGTTTACTCCTAGGTACTTGATTTTTTTGAGGCTATTGTAAATGGAATTGTTTCCATATGTTCTTTCTCAGTTTGCTCGTTATTGGTGTATAGAGAAGCTAATGATTTTTGTAAGTTGATTTTGTATTCTGCCACCTTGCTATAGCTGTTAATGGTGTCTAGGAGTTTTTGGGTAGAGTTTTTTGGGTCTTTAAGGTATAGGATCATATTGTCTGCAAATAGGGATATTTTGACAGTTTCTTTACCTATTTGTATTTATTTTTTCTTCTTGCCTAATTGCTCTAGCTAGGAATTCCAGGACTATGTTCAATAAGAGTGGGGATAGTGGGCACCCTTGTCTCGTTCCTGATTTTAGGGGAAATAGTTTCAGTTTTTCACCATTAAGTATGATATTGGCTGTAGGTTTGTCATATATAGCCTTTATGATGTTGAGGTATTTTCCTTCTATTCCTAGTTTTCTTAGAGCTTTTATCATGAAGTAGTGTTGGATCTTGTTGAAGGCTTTTTCTGCATCTGAAAAATGGCCATAGTTTTCTCTAGATTTGGGAAATTTTCTTCAATGCCCATGAGTCTTAGGTTTGATCTTTTGATAGAGTTGGTGAGTTCTTGCATATTCCTTTTATAGGTCTTGAGTTGTTTGAGTAATTTCTCTTCAGTTTTTCCTTTAATTTTCCATTTCATCTGCAGGTTCTGAGATTCTGTCTTCTGCTTGTTGAATTCTGCTGGAGTAGCCTTTCATTGTGTTTTGTATTTCTTTTTCTTTTTTTTTTCCTGAGGTTTTTCATATCATGGGTCACTTCCTCTTTAATATTATCAATTTTGTCCTTAATTCATTTATTCCTCTATTTATGGTATTCTCTCTTTCCCTTTGGTATTTATTTAGGGCTCCTATGAGTTCACTTATTTGTTTTTGTGTCTCATGATATTCTCTGTTTTTGTTGTCTTGGAATTTCTTGAGTGCTTCCTTTACATTTTGGTTGACTTTGTCTAGTAAAATCTCCATGAAATTCTCAGTGATTTCTGGCAGGATTTCTTCTTTCAGGGTGTTCTTGTGGGCTTCTTTGGGTTCCTTGGGATAGTCTGTCTTTGTTTTTTGGGGTCTGGGACTGAGTATCTGTTTTCTTCATTTCCCTCGGTATCCTGTACTGAATTAGGAAAATGGTTTCCATGCCTTCTTTGTGTTCCCATCATTCCACTTGGTGCTATTTCTAACACTGTTCTGTGTGTAATTTAGTATTGGCTAACTTACAATATTAAAATTAATAAAATCAGGAAGGGAAGAGATAAAAGAAAGAGAAAGAAGAAAAAGAACGAAAAAATCAACAGTGAAAGGTGATGGATTAACAAACAGTGAACAAGATAAGTACTGAAAGAGAAAGAGTAAAAAGGAAAAGAAAAAAGAGAAAGAAAAAGGAAAAAAATGGAGAACCAAAGAACTCTACGAGGAGAGATGGTGGACTAATATACAGTGAACAAGACAAGCACTTAGAAAGAGGAAGAAAAAAAAAAATTCCAGGTTCAGGAACAAAGGTATTTCAGTCTTAGTCATTTTGGTGTTACTCCAAGCTCAGCAGCTGGTTGCTCCTGCAGGCTGCTTGCTTAACATTCATGGGGAAAGCTGCCCCTTCCCCCTTCTCAGGTGGAGAAGCTTGGCAACCTTCTCCTGCTTGCTGAATGTTCTTGTGGGGAGCTGCCCCTCCCCCCTTCTCCAGTACACTCAAAGCACTCCAACCTCTCTGCTGCATGTCCTTTTCAATTTCCAGTTTATTCAGTTTTTTGTTTTTTTTCCTTTTTGTGGAGTGGGGGTTCTGTCTGTCCAGGGGGCTATGCTGGCCTTTCCAAGGGATGGCTGTGGGAGTACCACGTGGTGCTTATCCGCTCACCTGTTGGTCCGCATCTCCCAAGCACGTTTGGAGCTGGTGGTGTCTGGCAGCATGGAAGCCCTCCTGTTTTTTCAATGTAACATGGTGTGGAGAAGCCCTGTAAGGGCTGGGGATTCGGGATCTCAGAGTTTTGCTTATTCTTGGTGGTTTTTTTTCTGCCAAGTATGGCTCCTGCGTCTCGGCAAGTTTCCAGATTTATGGAGTTTATGCTGCCAGTTATTTCCCTGTAGTCACCATCTTGAAACTTCCCAATATATACTTTGATCAGATTCATTCCATTACTCTTTCTTATCCTCTCCCCTTTTAAAAGCAATTGTTAATGGGTTTCAGTATTCTATTTTCATACACGTATAAAATAATCATATTTAC